CTCTCAACCACCTCCTCTCTCTCTCTCTTTCTCTCTCTCTCTCTCTCTCGCTCTCTCTCTCACTGCTGATTTATTGCAGTGTGCCACACAACACAAGGTGTGCGTCCTCTGTTCATCTCTGAATCACTTCACCACAATCTCACAGACAGACACAAGCAGACCTATGCGGTAAAGACTGCAAAACGATCATGCCTCTTCCCAGACCTCAATCCAGAATCCCAGGCACCATGGAATGCTCTCTCGACTCTCCCTTTCAACACTCTAACGCCCACCCTCGTTAAACACATCCAGACTGAGCTATCTCATGAGCACCCGGACCAACACTGTCAGGGCACAAGTCACTGCCTCGCCCATCAAAATCTTTGTACTTGGCCTATGACCATATACCTATCAGTTAAGGACGAAACACCATTACTCTCCTGCAAAACAATCACGTCGGCATGAGCGCTCCATAACAACCCACTACCACCTCCACGCATTCCCAAGATATGGTCCTCCATTAATGTTCCACCTGGAATCCACCACCATCATCTATTTGACTCAGAGAATTTGAACCTCCGGCACAGCATGGGTCCAGTGCCTGCTTCCACTCCCGTCCAGTGCTGCCCCACAGCTCCCTCCCTCTCTCGGGAGTCAGGACCACTCCCCCCTATCCGACCCCTACTCTTTGCGACCCCCTACATATGATTGAATCTTCCCGTTCTACTCGTATCACGACTGCAGACCCCCAAACCTCTCACGCTTTCACCTCCCTTCCCACCCTCTCTCTATCGCTCAATTTCACTTAATCCCCCCGCCCTGCCCCTTAAAACCTCCCAACAATATCAGCTCAGCTTTGTAGATGCAAAATCGTTTGTCCCACCAGATGCCACATCATTTGTCTGGCCATCATCCACAAGAACACGTGTCAACAGTCTAAACCTCCCTCAACACCAGCAATAGCCTCGAGTCCTTGATTGGGAAGGGAGTTAAGCGCAGAACCTAGTGCTTAACGGTCTCCTTGTCTCCAATCCGGGACCACCACCACCACCAGCAGCAGCAGGTACATCTTTGGCCAATCATGTTCATTGACAATGGAAACATACACTGTTCTTCAACACTGCCACCAACAACTACCACCTCTCATTCCATCTCAACCATCCCCGGCCCCTCCCTCCCCTTTGCCAGATGGAATTGTATTTCTCTCTGTTCCGTTCTCTTATTGACCTGTCATCCTCGACTACTAGTAGCAACCAAAACCCAAGACCTTACCTTCCTCCCTCAAGGGGGCAGAGTCACACTACGACGTAAAGTTCCCTGAATGTATACAACCAGACGGATGACCAAAATCGTGGGCTTTTATTTGACAATGCCCTTAGCTATTGTGAAGACGCCCTCAGGCACATCAATCGTTGCTCCGCACACCATTGAGTACCTCTCTCACACCAACAACAGCCTGTGCTACATGCACACAGTGTCACGCCGATGTTGTTTTTTAACACTCAGTCTGATCATGTCACGAACTCAAATCCTCATGGAACAAATTCAATGCTGTACTTCGCCATAATTCTCTGTAATTTGCCTGCCTAGCCCAACCCATCACATCCCCATCAAAGCATATATCCAAGTGGTAAAAGGCTAAAAGCATCGACGTTTCGACTTTTCGACTTCCAGACTTGGGACTTTTAGAGATGGGCTGCGTGATCCAGAAAAACATCTTCTCCCTCTCCCATCTCTTCCTCGGCGTCTTGCTCCGCCCACTCGGCGACAGGCATGCACTCCCACTTGTGCCTGGCCTTCCAGTCTAGAGCCTGGCAAGCCCTAGAGCAGTAGTTAACACAGCCACATGCAGCGCACCTGCGGAACTCGTGCCGCCGCATCTCTGGCCGCCCGCAGAATGCATAAGAGCACAGGCGTAGACCAGGTGCAGGTTGGTGCTCAGCGAACCAGTCCACTAAGAACGTGTTAGCAGCATAAGGTCCCGGATTAGACAGCTGCTGCTGCTGCTGCTGTTGGCGGCCGTATTCCAGGTTCAATCTTCCCATGTCCGCCTGGACAGACTTGTAGACCAAGTTCACTCTCTCGTACCCACCGTTAGTAGATACGCTGGTAGACAAGCAGCAGCTCGCAGGGCTCCCTCTCTCCTCCCCATGCTCCCCATCCCCTCCCGCGACTCCTTCAGCTGCTCCCTCTGCTGCGCCGCCAGCCACTTGGCCCCCCGATATCAACTCTGCTGCGTCTTCTCCTCCCGATACCGACGCTGCCCCTTCTTCTCGTCCCGACGCCCACCCCACGGCTTCTCCACGACCTCCCGATCCCGTCGCCACTCCCCCGCCTTCCTCTCCCCATACCGACACATCGTGTGCCCCCTCTGCCATTTCCATCTCCCTCCGACACATCAGTTCCTCCACCTCTCCTTCCTGCGGCTTCTCCTCTTCCTGCTCTCTCGACTGACACTGCGCCATAGCCGCGTTGCTTCTGTCATCATAGTCTGCCATAGCCGCGTTACTTCTATCATCATAGTCCGCCATAGCACCGTTGCTCGTGTCATCATCGTCAGAAGCACAGGAACAACCGCAACATGTCCACAGCTGCGTGCTCAGGGACGTAGCAGCCGCTGCCTCTCCTCCTCTCTCACGAACTGGCTCCTCAATCCCGACCGCCTCGTCGGCTCTTCCTGCCAAGCAAGTCCCTCGAACGACACCTTCCTCTTCTGTAATGGATGACCCGTCGTTCAGCGGGGATGGCCCACAGTCCGCCGCACCCGTTTCCCGATTACGAAAGGAGGCGGGCACCGCAGCTGCTGTAGCCGCTGCCTCTCCTTCTCCTTCTCCCTCACGAACTGGCTCCTCAATCCCGACCGCCTCGTCGGCTCTTCCTGCCAAGCTAGTCCCTCCAACGACACCTTCCTCTTCTGTAATGGACGACCCATCGTTCAGCGGGGATCGCCCGCAGTCTGCCGCATCCGTTTCCCGATTAGGAAAGGAGGCGGCCACTTCAGCTGCTGCTGACCCTCCGCACGCGGCCGCTGACGCCTGCACCCCGACCCCATGAGAGGAGAAGGAGGCTGTTCCTCCGCAATCGAACAACGACCTGCCACAGATCATCTCCATCGCATTGGCTTCGAGCAGCAGCCTCCTCCCCTCCATCACGTTCCTCGCCACACCGTACCCATCTTGCAGACAATGTCCCAGCTCCCGCATGGCTTCCACGTGTCCAGCTGCCGCAGCTTTGCTGCACAGGTTCACTGCCGTTGTGAGATTCTTAGCCGTCCGATCTCCTCCCGAGCTTCCGTTGAAATGGATGATGGATAAGGAATGCAGAGCAGAGGCGTGATTCTGCAGTGCTGCCTTCATCATCAGACACCTGCCTGCTCGACGATTATCCAAGCAGTAGAATTCGATCTGCAGAGGAAGAAGAGCACAACACACACAAACACACACAACACACACACACACCAGCGAGTCTAGCTCAGTTGGTACACCAATGAACTGACGTGTTGCAAACAGACCTGAGGTCACCCCGAAATTCGTTATGGAATCTGACATGAAAAAATAAAAACAAAATGCTACGAGTAATACTATAATATTGTACCCCTCCGAAATTTCACCACTTCCAAAAAAAACGGAAAAATAATTGACCCCCTTTTCCCGTGTGGCCCGGCTACACCCGATGGACCAACCCCCGTGCAAGTCCGCCCGCCCGGTTCACCCGGTGGACCAGCCCCCGTGCAAGCTCGCCCGTGATCAGAACAGATAATCATTTGATTTTAGAAATCGCTTGCTCCGAGGGAAGACCCTTGCCAGGCAATTGCATACAGTTCCGTAGAGCATGGGCGTCGCTTTACTACTGCACCTGGATCTCCCAATAGTCCATATCCAGATACATTTAAATAATGGGTAAGTCTGCATGTACCGGGGCAAGACTAGATACATTTAGAATTGCGCCGAGAACTCGTACAAAAACAGAATCCCATTAGAACTCGTTTTTGTGACTACTGAAGTTGAGTTCCCCCAAGACCCGTCGTGAGTTTCTACATGGGTGCAAAAATTCAGTCATGACTGGCTCCATCCACATGTATTTGGCCTACGTTCTGGACTACGTACATTCGAATCGAGCCAACATTTCGAGTAAAGGGTCGTTAACAGCGCCACATACATTTGAGGTGTTGGGCAGTGGAACAAGGACCTAAATCCCTTCACACAAAAACCGTTAACAGCGCCACGTACATTTGAGGGAAAATTGGAACAAGGACCCAAAAAAACGGAAAGAAAACAGAACAAAGAGAAAACGAAAAGACCAGAACGATCAAAGTAATGGCCAGATATTGTGAGGTCCCCGGCCTCGTCCCTTTTTTGATGAAATAAATGTCTAAGCTTTCCAACAAAAAAAAAAAAAAAAACAGAACGTTCGAAGTAATGGCCAGATATTTTGGTCTGAAAATGATACAGTAATAATAATTATTAAATTATTATAAATCAAACAAGAGCCAAGACCAACGACGATCCATGAACGGTACAGGTGGGTGCTGCGGGATGGCCCCTGCCCAGGGATGACAAGCATAAATGGTCCAAACTAGAATGGGGCCTGCGCAATTATGACAAGCATAAATCGAGAAACGGTTCAAAACAAAAAAATAACCGGTGGGGGCGCTTGGAGAGGCCTCTCTCTCTCTCTCTCTCTCTCTCTCTCTCTCTCTCTCTCTCTCTCTCTCTCTCTCTCTCTCTCTCTTTTTCTCTGTGTGGGCAAGACACGAGCTATGCCTGTTTCTCCCTCTCCATCCCCTCTCCTCCCTCTCAACCTTCAATTGCCTCATTCCGTGCCATTAACGCTGACGTCACCAACTAGCCTCGAAAATCACCCAATTTTCTCCTTGCACACGTGCTCAAGGGGGTTGTCATTTGGGTTGGTATTCGCAATACAACTCAGACTCGACGCCGCAGTGCTCCCTCGCATTTTCTGTTTTTTCTTTTTTTTTCTTTATGAAGGGCGACAGCCTTGAGACATCATCATCAGTGAACTGCCCGGCTCCAGGTAATGCAGAATGCTTTTCATTGTGGTCATGTATCTGGATTCGAACTTGGGTCTGTAGTTCAACAGTTCATGCGTGTACCAATTGAAATATGCCCCCCATTTGTACCAATTGAAATATGCCCCCCATTGGTGCGACTCCCTTTCTTGCAAAAAGAAAAAAACGAAAACACGAGAAACAACAAAATAGACTTTTTTCTGTTCTCGCGGTATATGGCTGAGTTAACAAAAAGCTGACCACAACAAAAGAAAAGAAAAAAACAGAACAACAACGCGGTCGCGGTCGCGGTGGCGATGGCGTACCATTCCCAGTGTGTAGCACGCCTCAGCATTGCCAGCATCTGCTGCTCGCCGCAGAAAAGCATGAGCGCCGCTGGACCATTTGTGTGCTCTCACGGCCATCACATCCGCGGACGCGGACGCAAGAACCTGGGGATGCATGCCTGCTGCACAAAAACGCCGGCACCTGCACAAACACAAAACCCCAGACGCACGCAAAAACAACGCACAAAACGTCTTAGCAGGAACAATAATCATCGCTCATGCCATCATTGAACCAGGCGTCTCTCTCTCTCTCTCTCTCTCTCTCTCTCTCTCTCTCTCTCTCTCTCTC